CGCACCCGGCAGCTATCGGGAAAATTTTGGCGGAGGCAAACTTCAACAGATGCAGGGAGATTACCAAACTCGGTCGATTCCGATTCCGAGTGGTACTGGAATCAAAGGAAGCATACACTTCTCTCGAAGGAATTAACTTTGCAAAGCACAATCTGAAGCTGTTCGTTCCGGCTTCGACGACAGAAACGATATGCTTTGTTGGAGGAGTGCCTGCTGAATTCAAGGAGGAGGAAATAAGCAACAACATCGAAACTGAGGTTCCTGTACTGAAGGTGGAGAGGATCAAATGGAAGGATGGCGATAAGCTGGTGGACACCAGCAGCCTTAAGGTGACGGTAAAGGGTAAAAAAGCTCCGGAAATGGTTAAAATCTACGGATGTGCCTTCCATATGGAGTTGTACGTTTTCCCAGTTAAACAGTGTCGACGCTGTTGGAGGTTTGGACACAAGATGAAGTTTTGCAGAGCAAAACCAAGATGCAGGATATGCTCAAGTGATCACAAGCAGGAGGATTGTCCCAACAAGAAACGTTGTGCCAACTGTAGGAAGGAACATGAAGCAGACAGTAAGTGAAGAACGTCGGAGGAGAGACAACATTATGAAAACGATGAAGAAGGAACGGAAGACGTACGCGGAGGTGGAGTTAAGATATCCCAAACTGACTAACCGATTTGAGATACTGGATGTAGACGAGGAATACCCAGAGTTGGAGACAGGGGCCAACGAGAGTTCAACAGGCGAAACTAATACCGGTCGGACGGGACCGACCTTCGCTAGCCGAGTAAAAGCAACCATGAGGAGGGGTTCCAAGGCCCAGGTTTAGACGCCAGAGAATTCGACGGAACAGTTTGAAAGGAACGAATGGGCCACACATACTGAGAAAACAGTGCAAAACGCATTCAACGCTACGGTAGTGGAATCCATACTGGCACAGGTGCGACAAGATTTGTTAAGACAGCTGAGGATCAGGACATGGTTAAAACCGTAAATCGAGCTGCGAGACAAAATTTCAAACCGTATGCGTACTGGTACCTCATCGTTGGACATGGATCAGCTGATAATGCACATATTTGGAAGAATCAATGACATCATTGATGGAGAAGTACAATCAAACGGGCAAATAATGAACGGTGGAGAATCGAGAATAGTACAGGTAAACAGAAATGGCGCTGAATAAAATTAAAATAATACAACACAATATTCAAAGTATACGTCCAACGGATACCAGAGAAGAACTATACACTTTTTTGATGAAAAACGAAATAAAAATTGCCCTCTTACAAGAAATTTGGCTGAAGGAAGGAGAAACGTTTAGAATAAAAAAACTTTGAGATGGTTTCGAAAAGAAGACCGGAGGGGTTTGGAGGAGTAGGGATTTTGATGGAGAATACAGTCGGGTTCAGAGAAATTATACTGCCAGATTTTGAAGTTCTTGAAGCGGTAGGAGTCAAAATAGTTAGTGGAATGGAACCGATGAGCATATTTTCAATTTACCTGCCACATGGTTCGAACTTAGAAGCTATTAACGACCTTAAAAAGCTCTTTCAATGGCTAGATATTCAGGAAGGAGAAATAATAGTAGGTACTGACGTGAATGCACATCATGCTAGTTGGAGCCCCGAGTACCCGGAATGTCAGAGAGGTAGACTTTTCACAGTCTAGTGACTGACTCGAACCTGATAATGCTCAATGACGGTTCGGCCACAATGAACTCCCCTCCAGGGACTAGAGAATCAGCGATAGACGTAACGTTAGCCACAGCGGGAGTAGTTAAGAAAGTGACATGGGAAGTCGTGCCAGAAGAATTCGGGAGTGCTCATTTGACCATCAGCCTAGAGATGGGAAAGGAAAATTCAGTGGTGTACGGAACTTCGAAGAAGATAAATAAAGACAAAGCAATAAGATTGCTCAACGCGAACCGGCCTCAGTACATCTACGACCCGGAAGAAATGCAGGATATCTTCGACGATGCACTGGAGTAGGCATCATATGTAATCAGCAACAAGAAGAACAATTTTTTAAAGAAGTTTTGGAACTAGAACATCGACGACCTGTACAACACCAAGAGAGAGGCGCTGCGCATGTACAATCGGGACAGATCAAGAACAAATTTCATCGAGTTACAACGAAGGAGGGCGATGTTTAAGAAGGCGGTAAGAAAAGAAAAGAGAGCATATGTGAAGGAACTGAACGAGAAGATCGACGAAAATACCCCGGCAAGGCAGCTGTGGAACATTGTGAAGGGTGTCGACACTGGGTTGTCAGGAGGAAAAAAGAAAGTCATCGTAGCCAGCCGAGAGTTAGGAAATGAGCTGATAGACTACTTCTTCCCTAACACGCCTAGTGAGGTTTTCTGCCCAACTGTGTCAACAGTGAAAGATCTGGAAGGTTTCGAAAACGCATTGAAGGACTATGAAATCTTGCAATGTATTAGAACGAGAAAACTTCACTCAGCAGCGGGAGAAGATGGACTTTCGTACTACATCCTCAAAGGACTGTCACTAGACTTGCAGTTGAAGGTCAGTGAGATGCTGAATCAAATTTTCATGACGGAGAATATTCCCGAGAGCTGGAGACGAACAGAAATACGACCCATCCCGAAGCCTGGAACCGATCCGTCGTTGCCTAACTCGAAAAGACCGATTGCGCTCATGAATGTTAACCTGAAACTGATCAACTCAGTGGTAAAAAACAGAATATCGCAAGTCGCAGAAATAAACGATCTCATTCCGATGAGATCTTTTGGTTTCCGAAGTAATAGCTCCGCCACAACATGTGTCAACTATGTTGTGAACACCATTCATGAAGTGAAGGCCCAAAACCCGGAGTGCTTGGTCGCATTTCTAGATGTATCTAAGGCATTCGATTGCGTTAACACAAACCAACTGCTGGTAACACTAAGGGATCAAGGAATTCCTGGGAAACTGATATCATGGCTGCACTGTTACATGAAACACAGGATTCTTGTTTTGAAGACGGAGGAAGGAGAGATTACGAAAGTGGTGAATGACGGATTGGCCCAAGGGTTCCCGCTTTCTCCCGTTCTGTTCAACCTCTACACAGCTGCGATACATGAAGTAAACAACGAGGATTGCGAACTCGTGCAGTTCGCAGATGATTTCTCACTCATAGTGAGGGGGAGATCGTTGGAAGAAGCGGCGGAGAAGATGAACGTGGTATTGAGTACTGTTACGGGTAGACTTGAGGCGATAGGGCTGAAAATCAACCAAGCAAAAACGGCGATAATCCCATTCACAAGGAAGAACACGGAACACATCAAAGTTAGGATCCAAGGAGTCAATATAGAACTGGTGAATACACACGTCTATTTGGGCTTCACCCTAGACAGGGAACCTCGCCATCGACAACACATAGAGGCAGTTAAAGAAAAAGCCAGCCAGAAGCTTCCACTTCTAAAACTTCTCGCTGGAAGGAATAGCGGCTCGAATCCAGCGACAATAGTCAAGATCGGTAATGCCTTGATAAGAAGCCGATTGGAGTATAGTGCATCGATCTATGGAAGCGTAGCAGATACGAATCTCCAAAAAATTCAAACGATCCAAAATAGCATGTTGAGAACAGCAATGGGATATCTCAAGTCTACACCAATTCACGTCTTGCTCTCGGAGACTGGTCAGGTACCGATGAAGGCTAGAGGCGAATGGCTGGCGAAAAGAGAAATTAGCGAGGTTCATCCGAAACACAATTTCCAGCGAACAGCACAATGGTTCCTACATCACGCAAATAGCGATCAAGCATGTTGACGTGGTAATGCAAATCCACCCTAAGGACAATGACATTGCATGCCAACTAAGACCACAGTTTGGAAGAAACACCGGACTGGAAGGGCGAGTAAAGAAGCAGCTCTTTAAACATCAAATCAAAAAGACCAACATCTCCAAAGAACTATGGCTTAAGGCCTATCAACGAGCTATAAACACGGATTATGAAGGATACAAGCGAGTTTTTACGGATGGGAGTAGGAACATGGAAGGTACAGCGATAGCTATATACGACGAACAAGGAAAAAAACATAAAGCAGATAAAGTCAACACAAATGTCACTATCACAAACGCGGAGCTTATGGCTATTCAAGTGGCCCTCGAGTGGGCTATGCAGGAAAAATATGTCATCCTGACCGACTCGGCCAGTGCGTGTGCTGTTCTAGAAAACAGAAACGAGCTGAGTAACAATTACGTGGCGTGGAACATATACAAAATACTTCAAAAACAAGAATGCAAACCCTACAAGATCCAGTGGATACCAAGCCATTCCGGCATAGAGGGCAACAACCTTGCGGATGAAGAAGCAGTTAAAAGAACAGCAGGAAGGCAGTCCGTTTTCAACTGTTTAACGGTGGATGATGCACTACAGCTGGCCAAAAACGAGACATGGGAAGAATGGACGAGAAAGTTCGAGATGAGCCAGGACAAAGGGCTTTGGTATAAAAAATACAAGCAGTTCCACTCAGGAAAATATGGTACAAAAATCTTGTACTCAAAAGCAGCGATATCAAGACGTTAAGTAGAATACGGACTGGACATGTATTAACGAAAGACAGAAAAGCGAAATGGAAGTGGGAGTTAAATGAAGAATGCGACTACTGTTAAGAAACGGAAGATCTAAATCACTTGCTTTATTTGTGTCACAAATACAATAACATTCGCTGCAATTTTCCGGCGCTGGAATATTGTAAGTCTCTGGAAGGCATACTAAAAGAAAAATGTGAAGCAAGCATGACTCAAATATTATTATTATTATTATTTATCTTTATTAGGGAGGCTTTCAGCCTTGGGCTGGTTCGCCTCCACGTGACTAAAATAGCAAAATTCATCAAACTCTGCAAAATACAAATTTGAATTAAAAACATGCCAGCTGGCAACAATGCTACTACGACAACACCGAGGCGAGATGGACCAAACTTTGGTCTTAGCCGTCTGTAAAGACAACCACAAAGAAAAAAAAAAAGAAGGACTGTGATATCAATAACCAGGCAGTATGTTTCACTATGATTTGACACCGGATATATCTTTCTTCCTTATCGCCTAACTCCAACATCGATTGTTCATGAAATCCTATGGTACATTCTAGATGCTACTTTCACGCATGTTTATGTACAGCAAACAGACAACAGTCAGATTAGTTCTTGTAACACTAATGAATAGTTACCACTGGAAAAAAAATGTTTTTACTGTAGCTGCAGCTGGTGGCACGAGACTTAACCGCTATCTTATATTAGAAGCAGAAAAGGGATCATTATTTTCTCATTTGACGTTCAATGGAAAATAATGTGACTGTTTTCAATAAATAATCACCGTCCTCTATATTACAAATACTTGCAACCAATAGCTATTCTGCAGTCGAAAATAACTGGGTGATGATTTACGCGAGTTCAACTCGAAGATAATTACGAATACTTACATTGTAGAGCAAGAGAGGTCTATTGTACGTTGACTAACTAAGGTGCCGCATCATTCATAGAACACCAGTGAAAGATCAAAATCATATGGCGATGTTTTCCAGTTTGTCACACTTTATTACACTGTTACACCACGATGATGATTTGAAATGGGTTTCAAAAAGGTCAAAACTGACAACGAAAGATCACTTGACATGACTTTATAACAATTTCTCCACACAATTACACGACACTTAAAGCATAAGTTTATGGCAACTAGAACAAACGAAAAAAAATGGCATTTTGATTCGCTGAAAGACACCACCGGTCCCATCTACACTCACTGGAATGTTGCCCACTCAACCCCTTCCTAGTTGACCCACAGCACCTTCCGCCCCTAGGTGATCTGCTCTATCTTGATGTTGCTCATCAATTCTCGTGACTGCTGCATGGCTCCCAGAAAGTGCGATCCATCGATGATGAAATTCGACGGAATCGTGTACACGGTGGCCGAACTGCCATCGGCCGACTTGATGATGGCCGTTTTCGTTGCACCGCTGCCACTGACCATGCCACCACTACCGCCTAGTCCCGCTAGGCTGGCCATGGTCGTTCCCGAAGCCGATACAGTATGTATCGTATTCTGCTGGGCACTGCTGGTGGGCATCGCAATCTGCAGCTGGTGAATGATAGGACCCTTACCGGCAATGCTGTTTTGCAGCTGAGCCGGAATGGTGAAAATCTGCTGGGACTGGATGGATACCGGCGTGAGCTGCGGATGCGGTTGGGATTGCTGATGGTGATGCTGCTGCTGCTGTTGCTGCTGCTGCTGCTGCTGCTGTTGCAGCTGTTGGGTGGGGAGTTGTACTTGTTGGATTTGTTGGTGCGGAGGTTGCTGTTGCTGCGTTTGATGAAGCGTGGGCAACGGTTGGGTCGTGTCCGGTGGTTCCGTTTTTGTCTTGACGGGTGACTTCTTTTGGATCTGAAAGATGATTAAACGAACGGAGTTAACGAGTATTAATGTAATTGTTGCGTTTTCCATCCTTCTCAACGCACAATAAGCACTTATTCTTCAACCCATCATAGTGAATTCCTCTCGTTTTCGGTTGATTATTACTAACCCGCATAGAAACTAACCACTATGATATTGAAATCCAAGCCTCATCCAAACCCAAAATAGACGCAACCCAACACCTACCTTTTGCGAGTCCGCCGCCGCCATGTCATGCATTTGCTTATGCCGTAGGAATTGTCCCTTTATATAGAAGTGCTTGCTGCATATCGAACAGTGATACGGAGCCGAACTGCTATTTTCCTGGTGCGTTCTGCAAGAAACAAAGCAAGTGTTATAATTTCATCAAGTCGAAACACCATAAACACCCGCTCCTCCCTCACTCACTTCTTATGCTTATTGAGATTATCCTTGCGCGAAAAGTACTTCCGGCAGACCGGACAGGCAAACATCTTCTTTCCCGTGTGCGACACGATGTGCCTCATCAGGTGCTCCTTCCGGCTGAACGATTTGCTGCAACTGGGTTCGTCGCACTTGAACGGCCGAAGACCGACGTGCGATTTGAGATGCTGCATCAGGTGTTCCTTCCGTTTGAACGACTTCGAGCACACGTCACAGGACGTGAAGCTAACGGAGGAGGAGGATGCGAGTGCGTTTTTGCCAGCCGTTGTGCTTGACAGAGAATCGTTCTGGCCGTCCTGCTTCAGGGACAGGGCCGAAATGGCTTTCATCTGCTGCGTGGCCGCTATCGATTGGGCCGTCTGAGATGCTCTTGACATGCTGGTGTTGGATTCGGAGGAGCTGTTGAGTTGGTCTTCCTGGGAGGATGACTCCCTGCGGCTGGTCGATGGACGGGGTGGCGGTTGTGGCGGATTAGGTTTCTGCGGCGGTTTGGGTGGGGGTTGGTGGGAAGGAGATGCTTGAACCTGAACTGTGGGTCGCTGCTGAACGAGCTGCATGTGTTGAGCTAGTTGAATCTGCTGTTGGTGATGTTGCTGCGGTTGTTGCTGTACCGGTTGAGTGGTAATGACTATGTTTGCCTGCTGAGATTGTAGCTCGGAGGCATTCTGAAGCTGGGAGGATTTTTCGACTAGACTGAGATAGTTGGAGAGCGGAACTTGCACGCTTGGCACGGCTAGTTGGGCCTGGATGTGCTGGGGTTGGATTTGTATCTGTTGGTGATGCTGCTGCTGCTGTTGCTGTTGCTGTTGGGCGGGTTGAGATTGAACGGTTTGAAGTGGCCCGATGCCAAATTGCTGGAGACCTTGAGGGGTCAGCGTGAGGGCCGGAGGCATCTGAGTCGGCGCCAGTCGGTACATTCCGTCCGGTCCGGGTTGCAGCTTCATCTGAACGTACTGAATGTTCGGAACCATGCCTTTGTTCATGTCGGCAACGTTTGCGATCGGCGCCAGGGCGATTTGTTCGCCGCCACCTTCGGCTTTCAGCATGATGGGAACGATACATTTGTTGCCTTGCATCATTTTGGCGTCCAGTACGGACATGGCCGAGGATTTCACGGGCGTCGTGACAGTGGAACAGCTGGCGAGAGGAGTACTGGTGAATATTGTACCGGCCGGAGCAGCCGAGAAGCTTGCAATACTGCTGGTCGATGAAACGGGCGTCAGGGTGATGGGGCTGCTGGACACGGTGGCGACCGGCGCCGTCGTTGCCAGGATGGTCTGCTTCGGTGGCGTTGACGTTACCAACGTTGCCTGGGAAGTCGGTGGAGGCTTGATCAGGACGCTGATCTTTGGCTTCTTGGCGGCCACCGCTTCCGGCTGAAATAAATAATTAGGAAAATTTTATTGTTATTTTTATTGCTATTGCTCAGTTCACACCCTGGCTGGCTGCTGCCTACCGATCTGCACTTAAGCCAGGCATGAACCTACGGAAATTTAGTCGTGGCCTATGCTAGACCTTTCACTAGCAGGCTTTTTGGTCCCACTAGCGTCCGATTAGGGGATAGACATATTCTTTTCTTAAGAATTTGCTTGACTTGAGAATTTTAAAATTCCTTGAGCAATTAAATGATGATGGTTTTTCCGAAATCTTCTTGCGGTGGCAATTAAAGAAACAATTGATCAACTACTTCTGATGCTAGCAACTTACCGTTTTTTCAGGATCCCTCCTATATATTTTTACCGGTGTTTTGAGTTTGAGAAACTCGTCCATCTGCTGGTACGAACTGTAAAAAAAAGCATTATTGATAATGTTTAATAAATTTAATTCGAAAGCGACTACTAAATACCATTGCTGTTCCGGGTCGCCAGTCGTCAGCAACGTTTGTGTTGTGCCATCCTGAATCTTGTAGTGTATCTGATTCGCCTTAATCGTCTGGCCGTCCAGAGTGATAGTATACTGAGCTAAGGGCTGTTGCTGCTGCTGCTGTTGCTGCTGGTTCTGTTGCTGTTGTTGTTGATGGGCGTCATGGGATGATGCCGCCGCTTCACCAGTCTGAATGCCAACAGCTTGCATAATACTGCTAAGGAAATCCGAATTCGGTGCCATAATCGTTGCCGTTGGTAAAGGTCCTCCGGTGCCCGAGGAAGTGGTTTGAGTGAACCCCTTCGGTAAGCTGTTGATGATGATTGGGGTCATCGCCGGTGCGGTCGTAATGGTGGCAGTTTGGTGCTGTGAAGCAGTGCTAGCTGAAATTGCAGGGACTAGTTTCAACTGTGGAGGCGCTTGTGCGGGTGCTGGTTGCGCTTGAATGGTTGGCAGGGTAATTGTAGCGGTGACCGGACTCGATGCACTGCTCATCTGCGTCACCGTCTGATCGTCCCTTACCGTATCGTCCTTGATGTACACCATGCCCCCATTCCGAAGCTTAGTAGAGTTCAGGCAACTCTCCAGCATTCCCTGCGCTTTCACAACCGAATCCCGGAATTCTACATGCGCTTCCAACTGTTTCAGACATTTCGCACAGACGCTCTTCGGCAGGCGATCCTTTTCATAAACCTGAAAAATAATCACAAATTTCATGATACCATTTGCAAACCTCAACAACGTTTAAACAATTACCTTTATCTTTAGACAGTCGGTGATTTTGAAAAGGATGTTTTTCCGTTTCCCTTCCTCGGAGAATATCCCGGTCCGGCCACCTCCGCTGCTGGCACAAAGCCGGCACAGGTCCACGAAATTCACACACTTGTACCCAGCCATTCTCCAACCGGTTTCCTCGTAACAGCTGTTCGATTCCCGATTTCCCCGTTCGATTCGATTCTGTCGAAAGAACTCTCACTTTCCACGAACCATTTTCCCTTTCCACAGGATCTGTCAAATCTTGTCAGTGTGTTCTTCCTGAAAATCCCACCGCAGACTCACACGGTCACTATTTTTCGCAGTACACAATTGGCGCTAAAAATCATCTTTCTGCTTTTTCCACAGTCAATCTTCGTGTCCCCGAGATAAGGTTTTTTATCTTCACCACATGCAATTTATTCTTCTCGCAAGACACAGACACCCCCCACCCGCAACCAACCAAAAGATGATGCACTTCTCACACCACCCACACTATCAACAAACTCCGCTGCTGCTGCTGGTGCTACCGATCATCGGTCGTCGTCTTAATGCGCTCGATTTTTCAAACGAATTTCCTCACAAAACGAACACCTTTTTTCCGATAGAAATACAATTTTCACACAAATCGTCCATCGAACCACACGGTGCACCACTTTTTATGCCACTTTAACTCACATTTACCACCGGAAAAGTGCGACGAAAATCTATTTTTCAGAAACAAGACGCGTTCTGGCCGTTCGCCGAGAAAGGTTTTGTTTTTCCTCTCGCCTTTGCATTGAACTTCCAAACATCAAACATGCTCCTCACGGCTGCACGCACACATTCGCAATGTGTAAAGAATGACAACCGTCAGCGATGAATCAACTGTCCTGCGGGCGCATTTTTAGAACTGCGGCACGCGGTACATATGGTGCCGCTCATGAACAGCGTGCTTGTTTCGAATGATTCGTTGTTAGCGCTACAAGGAATGAAGGTTCAAAGGTGTCTGGTACGTTTTGCATAAAGGGTGATACGGTCAAAATTTGGTCAAGGGAAAACGCGTGTAAATCGGTGAAATCGTTTATTTAAAAAATCAAATTAAATTTCTTTTTCAAGTTCAATTAGTATAAAATTCAGGAAAAATATTCAGTTAGGCTTCCGCTTTTCCAAATCCGAATTGCCGGGCCTTACGCTTGACCCCTGCCATCAGATTTTGTACAGCCACCTTGTCCACCTTCTTCGCCGCAGAAAGCCAGTTTGCCTTGAACTGCTGCTCGCCCTTAGCAGTTTTTTGGTCTTCTTTAGGTTCCGCTTGACAATAGCCCAGTATTTCTCAATTGGGCGGAGCTCTGGCGTGTTGGGAGGGTTCTTGTCCTTGGGAACCACCTGCACGTTGTTGGCGGCTTACCACTCCATGGCCTTTTTACCGTAATGGCAAGATGCCAAATCCGGCCAAAACAGTACGGAACAACCGTGTTTCTTCAGGAAAGGCAGCAGACGTTTATTCAAACACTCTTTCACGTAAATTTCTTGGTTGACAGTCCCGGAAGCTATGAAAATGCTGCTTTTCAAGCCACAGGTACAGATGGCTTGCCAAACCAGATATTTCTTTGCGAACTTTGACAGTTTCATGTGCTTGAAAACATCTGCTACCTTTCCCCTTCCTTTTGCCGTATAAAACTCCTGTCCCGGAAGCTGCTTGTAGTCGGCTTTGACGTAGGTTTACCACGCAGTCAAACTTCGTAAGCATCGTCGTGTACAGCCTCCGCGATCGCGCTTTGGCCGTCGTATTTTGTTTATCATCGCGATTTGGAGTCACTACCTTCTTGTAAGTCGATAGTCCGGCTCGGTTTTTGGCTCGATGCACGGTTGTAGACGATACACCCAGCTTATTTGCGGCATCTCGTAGAGAGAGGTTAGGGTTTCGCTTGAAACTACCGGCAACTCTCTTTGTCGTCTCAGCGGCTTCCGGTTTTCGATTTCCCCCCAATCCAGACTTCCTGGCTGTCGACAAACGTTCCCCAAACACTTTAATTACATTTGTAACGGTTGATTTGGCAACTTTTAGCGATTTTGCCAACTTTGCGTGCGAGTAGCTCGGATTTTCGCGATGCGCGAGCAAAATTTTGATACGCTGCTCTTCTTGCTTGGACGGCATTTTGACAACTGAAGAGTGAATTCCAAAATCAAAATAGGAGCAACATTCTACACACACACACCTTCAAAATGAGGGGTGTTCAGGTTTTTTAAATGCAAAATTGAAAGAAATACGTCAAGTTGATATTGACCAAATTTTGACCGTATCACCCTTTAAGGAGCAGAGGACATTTGGGATAAGGACATTAAGGACATCAGTGTGAGTTAGAGAGCCACCGATGAAGTGGGCCGATAGACTGTTACCTGTTGCACTATGCTCAATAACATATTCAACTAGGTTTAAACTAAACCTTCACAATATGAATTTCGGTCCAATTATTTCCCATAATGATTAACTAACGTTTTTATATGCCACTATCTTGCAACATTTTAGCAAATATTTTTATACAAATGCGTGATACATCTCACAATTTGTAAGAACTGGGATTAAACATTTGGATAATATCCGAAGTAATCAACATGCCCGATTAGGACCCTTCTTGCAACATAAAGCTGAACAAAAAAAGATTAAAATTTAATTATTTAACGGTTATTCAATATTTATACATCGCTTTGATTAAAATATATTCCAAAGACACACTAAGTTCAGATAACTGAGAATTGTTCGTTCAGTGTCTATCCATGGAGGTAACTCTAAGACCAGAAGGTCCCGAAGAAACGTGCTCAACTTGTTGGCTCAGCTCTGGTACTATCTTCGGTCCCAAGCTAATCGATACACCCCTCGAAACATAGAAAAATCCACGAACCCCTCATTTTATCTGTCAAACTTTCATAGCGAATCAAAACAAACATAGTGTAGTACTAGAATTTCGACTTGAATGGGGTACGTTAATCAATTTGCATGGGACCAATAGGCTAGTCAAGTAGTGAGCCAATTTTAAATCGTTTGCGGCCCATGTTTTGATCGGTTTTAAACAAACAATGTTTTGCTCACAACAATTTTGACATTTATGTTAAGATGACGTCTGCTGGTCATCGACGTCGATGGGCAGCGACACTAGTGCCACCAAGATATTGCTAGTTTCAAATGTCTATTCAAAATAGCACTTATATTTCTTACACTATGCTAATACCCTACAATAAGGAAGGTGTGCCAGTTTTGGCACTAGTTAGTAGGCATTTTAGTTTTCAAATTTTATAAAATAGAAATTGCTGTTTTTTTTTTAGCAACTGATACCATTGATTTGTTGTTAAAAGGTTTATGTAATATCTTAAATATGCATCACACAAGGGGATGGTTACTCAGTACAGTGTGCCAAAACGCACCTTGGGCACACTCATTGGCACCAATTGTGTGAAATTTTCACAATCTTTAATGTTACTGGCAACAGTGTACTATTTCTACGCCTGCGCATGCGTCAAAATTAAATTGAATCATTGTTGTTGATACATACATTTTTGGGAATCGCAACCGTAAAGTCCCACAATGGATTCCCTAGAACGCAAGTAACATTTTAAGTTTCATGAAAGACTACAAAGCAACTATAAAACAACATTCATAAAACCCTAGTCAAGGCTATTTTGTCATTAATGCATCCACCAAAACCTCATTAAGACTAGAATATGTCTAGTTGGTCCACCCTGGAGAAGGTTCTGAAGGGTGTATGCTCGAAGCTCTTCAAGATTGATTTACGGCAAAAGGTTGTATGACGAACCATTTGAAAGCTACAATAAAAGCTATTTAGCAACAATAAAAACCCTTTCCGAGCCATTTCCCTAGCCGCATGCTGAATCCACTATAGGAAAGCATCAATCAAGATAGAAAAGGATTTATGAATTCGATCTTATCAAAACAATTAAAATAGAAACTGATGGTATAAAAATCTCGTTGAATATCCAAATTTATTGCAATAGTTCTCATTAAGTGGCCTAGTTTTAAGTGCCATATTAAATTTTATGTGAAATGTACGTGAAAACATCGAAAAAATTAAGTCCACCCTCGTAAAACGTCGATTTGACTAATTATTTAACATAGGAAAAAAAAATTTCTTCAGATCGAGCTTGGCCGACACTTTTTTTTTATTATTTTCGCATTTAAATGTTTGCTCATTGCTAAATTTACCAAAAAATAGTTATATCTAAGGAAATATTGATTGAAAATCGAAGATTGTAAAAAACAAGCAAACTAATTGTAACATGGCGGTGGCATAAAATTTTATTTTCATGGCTCATTTGTGAAAAAGTTGTTTTGCTTGCAAGAATTCCTTAACAAATTAATAAGGGTTTAAAATGGCTTTTATGAAGAAAACTTGCAGGCTGAATTGTATTTATCTAAAGCCATTTTGCTTGATCCTAACCCGTTCAGACTTATGGCAGCATTTATGGAGGCAAAGTTGCCTGCAAAAATTTAAACGTCAAAGTTTGTTTATCTTTCGATGGTTGCGCTGTGAGATCCAGGATTCTTCCAGGCGGTTTTCTCCCGATAGATTGGGAGCAGTTACTCAGATAATTTGCGATACTATTTTACAACATTTCGCATTTCGAACAGCTGGAAGCACAATCGTTCCCGAAAAAGATCCCCTTCTTCCGGATAGTTGCAGAAGTGCACCATCCAACGATGCAGGGATGTACGCTTGAATGAGATTTTCGAAGAGTTGATTCTTTCGCCGAATAAAATCACTGCTATGGATCGGAAACCAGCTAATCTCCGCTAACTAACAGTTCAGAGGTATGTTTTAAAACTTTCGACAATGTTTTATTAATTCGAGGGCCATGCTCAATTTACTCTTCTCCGCCAGATGGTCAGTCCAAAATGGTGTGCTGGTTCTTCTAAAGAAGTAAGTTTTGCTGAAATCGACTTGAATTTTTCATCCTACTTCGTCTATCCTTCAAGATTTCCTTGTCATAAATTTGGTATTTATTAACAATGAGGAACCATCTTTTAAACTTAATTTGTAAACAGAGGTAATTGGGGAGTTAAGGTGTTTCGCTGTGAGATCCGTATTCTCGCAACCACTTCGCAACTTCAAGTGCACAAATATCAGCTTTCTCGACACGTACCATAATGAAACTGTTACTCCACGTTTACTGCACTGCAGCATACATGAAGTAGCAATTTCAGGTTAAATGGGGCACTAATTTCCGAGATTTGTGTAACTGAAGATTCGAAGTGGAAGGGCATGTATGGCCTACGTGGCGGCCATTAGTGGATTCTACAAGGAATCACCTTGATGATGCACTTTAAAAAGCCTTAAAAGCAACAATAAATGCTTTTTGCTCTAATGTAAAACCTAATGGTTTTATGATTGCTTTTATAATGATAGAACACGTTTATAAAGTATTTCATCAAGACATTAATAAACAATTGCTAATGACGTTTATGCTTGAATTACAGAACAGTTTTAAGGAGGGATTGATAACTGTTTTAAATTTATTTTTAAAACAAGACAGTTTTGACTTTCTTGCCAGACTATAAAAGGTTTTTAAAACAGCAAAAAGCTGAATTATTAAGCAGAAATGCTTTACACTTTTAAATGCTATATTTAAACTAATTGGATTGTTCATTGCCGTTATAAAACCATCATAAATGAGAGTGGATGCTAAATGGCTACTGGATTGTTACTTGGGAAGTAAGATTGCCGGGGGTCCACGGTATTTTTAA